GAAGTGTGACAAGTGTCAACGCTTCGTAATTGTGCCCAGGCAACCACCAGAGGAGTTAACAACCATTTTAAGTCCATGACCTTTCTCCAAGTGGGGCATCGACATCCTAGGCCCTTGCCTCTCATCAAAGGACAGTGCAAGTTCGTGGTGGTGGCAATCGACTATTTCACCAAGTGGTCAGAGGCCGAACCCTTAGCTAAAATCACAGATGTGAAAGTCAAAGATTTTATCTAAAAAAGTTTGGTCTGTCGCTTCGAGATTCCCCACGCCATTTGCAGTGATAATGCCAAGCAGTTCGACAATAAGTTGCTAAACTCTTTCTGCTCCGACCTACAGATAAAATAGCCTCACTCTAGCACAGCACACCCGCAGGCAAATGGACAAGCAAAGGTCATGGTAAAAACAGTGCTACGCAACCTAAAAACAAGGCTTGAAAGAGTGAAGGGTCTTTGGGTGGACGAGCTTCCTGGAATATTATGGGCCTATCGAACCACACCAAGAACTCCTACTGGGGAGACCCCTTTCTCCCTCGCCTTTGGAACTGAGGCGGTCATCCCTGTGGAGATCGGAGTACACTCTCTGAGGGTCTAGCACCACAACCCCATCACCAACGAAGAAGGACTCCGCATCAACCTCGACTTGGTGGAGGAGGCAAAGGAGACGGTTGTGGTCCGCAACGCGGAGTACAAACGATGCATGGTAAGGTATTACAACTCGAGGGTAAAGCCTCGTTCCTTCCAACCAAGAGATTTGGCCCTCAAGAAAGTGATTCTTGCCATAAAGGATGCACATGAAGGAAAACTGAGACCAAATTGGGAAAAACCCTACCTCATAACAGAAGTGCTGAGGCCGGGCACCTATAGGATCCAGAATTCTAAGGGAAAAACCTTACTCCATCCATGGAATGCGAAGCACTTGAAGATGTATTACCAATAACACCCTGAGAGCATAAAAACAGTGGAAATTAGGACTTGATTTTATTTTTTGGGACTATTACCCAATATTCAATGTACCTTTTTGAGTTTAAATAAGCAATAGATTAATAAAATTTTTTACGTTTCTACTCCAAAAAGATCTTTTGCATTTCATTTCAAAGGAGTATCAGTACAAAAATAAAACTATAAACTGCCTTCTTAAAAAAAAAAATCAAAAGTCTTAAACACTTTAAATGCTCTCACGGTTGTCCTCCACCTCCTCCTCGTCATCCTTGGCATTATCAGAGCCCCCATCACTATCATCAGTAGGCAGGAAACCTGAGAAGTCAATGTCGGGAAAAGTAGTAAAGATCTTTCCTCAGAGATCCTCAAAACCATCAATGAAAGCATCTGCGAGGTCATTCTCCAAGTCTTCCTTAGCACAAGAAGCTCTCTCCTGAGCAGCCTTCAACTCCACCGCTTCTCTGAGTATGACCCTCTCATGGGCCACTGCAAGCTCATCCTCCCTGAGCGCGTTGCTCTCATGGGTCGCCAAAAGCTCAGCCTCAAGCTTAGTTGCCCGCTCATGGGCCTCAATAAGCTGACCCTCCCCGAGTGTGTCCCTCTCACAGGTCGCCAAAAGCTCAGACTCAAACTTAGATGCCCTCTCATGAGCCGCCACAAACTCATCCCGAAAAGTACTACCAGTTGTCTCAAACTCTACAATCCTTCCCTGAGCAATAAGAAGCTCCCTTTGCACGACGTCAAAATCCAGCTTCAGCTTGTTATAATTATAGGCTTTTGAAATCAAGCAAATAGATGAAGTCGAAACCTGAAGGAGATGAAAGGTGGAAAGGTGACAAGAGACTTAATAAGGAAGTGGAGAAAGGTTACCTGAGCCAGGCCTTCCAAATATGTGTTGACAATCCTCTCAGTGCCAGAAGTACTAAACTGACAAACTTCGGGTGCGAACACAAACCTCCCAAGCCTTTCTCTGATGGCTGGCGGCCTGCCTATCATGGGACAAAGCCAAGTCGGTCTTTTTTTTGGGGTTTCTCATATGAGGAGGGGACAAAGGAGGAATAGAGGGTGTGCCCGACAAGGAAGACTCTGGAGTAGTAACTGAAGAAGTCGCTGGCTGAAAAGGTACCGCCATAGGTGTCACTTAGGGGGCATCACTCGTCCTCGCCACCTTGGAGGAAAGAGGGCTCCTGCTACAATAGCGAGACACTACCACCCTTTTACTTGCTATGAAAACAAGAAAGTGTCAAGGAGGCAAAAAATAGTAAGGGGAAGGGAAAAATTAAAGGAGGAAACTAACCCACCCTTTTTCTTTGATGAAGAACCACCAGATCTCTGAGAGGGAGCAACCGCCCTAGTAGCCTTGGGCAGAAGGGATCCCAAATCTTTGGAAGGACAAGCCTTGACGGCCTCCAACTTTCACTCCTGATCTTGAGAAAGCACAAACGTGTCTGCAAGGGAATGGTGAGCACATATACAAAAAAGAGAGAGAGAGAGAGAGAGAGAAGAAGCAAATGTGCAGCGTATCGGGTTTTTTGGTAGCACCCCACCGCATTGGCACCAAAGCTCTGTCGGCTTCTGCAACCCACTCTCCATTAATAAAGAAGAAGCAAGATTTTCAGTCGCGACAATTGGAGCGCATCCCCGTAAGCACTGTACCACTTCTTGTGGTAAAGTAGTACCACCCCCTATTTGGAGCAGGAGTTTCGTTCAAATTATATGCCGCATGGAACTCCACATGAGAAGTATCCTCATGCTGCACTTTCCTCCATAGTGCAAGAAAACCCAGCAAAACTCTCCAACCGTTGGGCGCTAATTGCCCCGGAGTCAAAGAAAAGTAGCCCAAAATACGACAAATGGGAGAGGACATGGAGAATCTTAGCTCAACCTCGAGCATCTCCTCGTAAACAACAATATCACCAGAAGAGTCGTTGCAAGCAAGCTCGCCCAACTCAGCCCCGATGGCACAACACAGTCGGAGGAATACGATAAGTAAAAATAAGCCTCGAGATATCTTCATCCGAACGGAACAGACTAAAAAGGGTACTTACCTTAGACATGTCATCGTCGAGCCCCATTTTACCTTTGCGCTTCTTATTTCGGGGCCTTAGGGAGTAGTCTAGGCCACCATTTGGAAAGTCTTGAGGAGCTTGGATTGGAGGAGTCATAGTCAGATCCTGATCATTAGAAACAACACCCAAAACTTCCTTGTCGCGTGCAGTGTCAAGCACAACACTTGAAGGGATGCCTGGCCACTTTTGCTCGTCCAAATGACGCAACCCAACACTTGGAGAGGTGCCTGACCATATTTGCTAGCCAAAACAGAGTAGCCCAGCAGCTGGAGAGGTGCCTGACCCTTCAAAATTGCGCAAAACAGCATTTTTGGCCCCTAAATCAACGTCTACGGTGCTCGGATCAAAGCCTGGGGAGGTGCCCAAATCTGCCTCTTCACCTGGGTTGTTGCCCAGCTCTCCCTGCTGCTCCCTGGGTCGATTTTCTGTATTTTCTGCTACAAAAATACTGTTGCCCAGCTCTCAAAAGCGGCCCAGGATAGCAGAAACAGCCTCTACACTACTGCCTAGCGCGTCTGGGCTGTCCAGGACAGTAGTGTCAGCGCCTAGGCTGCTACCTAGTGCGCCTGAGCTGTCCAGGACAACAGAACCAGCGCCCAGGCAACTGCCCAGCGCGCCAGAACTGCCTTCTTTTTGCTGGCCACTCCGCATATGGAGTCCACCTTTCTTCCTGCATGCACACCCAGGCTGGAAGCCTTGCCAAAAACACCAAAACCTGCATGATAGGCGCCTGAACCAGCACCCAAAGCAGCTCCTGAAGGCGCTTGCACGAGCTGCTGTGGTTCTCGCTCGGCAACGGCTAACCGGGGGGTTTTCTTCTCCTCCTCTTCCTCCTCCTTCAACTCTTGCAACTCCAAGGGCCCCAAGACTACCTCTCTCAACCCCAATCTCACCACTCCTCATGGCACTAATGGAGTTTTTCTATCCCACCTCCTTCAAATCTCCAATACCCACTTCAAAAACTCCACCCAAGAAATACCAACAAAATAATCTTCAAAGACTTCAAGCTTTGCCTCCCTTCTCTCAAATCTCAATGGAATGGAAAGAACCAAGCTCACAAGAATGGGCTCTCAAGTTTTTCAAGAGATGGGTGTTCAATCTTAAAGTGAATGAAATGGGTAGGAGAATGTCATATTTATAACCTAGGGTTTTTAAAAGAGGAAAAAGTCCAAATTGAAAATTATGGGCTCTCTTAAAAAATCTGGCAAAAGTGGAAAGAGCTTGAGGCATGCAAATCAAAAATGCATTGTGGAGGAAAAAAAGTCATCTAGCAGAAGAAGTTTTCACCACTTATAACTCAAAAAGCAAACTAATGCACCCTTCTCTAACTTTCCTTAGACACGGGGCATTGGGGGACATATGATGGGTCAAGCCCAAAATGACCCAATTTATTTGAAAAACTCAAACCTCAATTGAAAAGCTCAATCTTATAAAGACCCACTAAGCCCAATACTGTCCAAGTTCAGTCTCATCAATTCGGCTACGTCATCAAGAGGAAGAGTGTGGGGGCCTTACCTGCACTGCGGAAGGAAACGGTCCACCCTCGCCTTATCTTTGACCGCATCTCATGGGGAGCTCCTCAACCACCTCACCCATTGAGAGGAAGTCGTGAGCTCCACTGAAATAGTTGCTTAGTTGCTGAGAAGTAGCCCTAACCTGTTAAGGGGGCTACTATAAATTGCACGCGCCACCAACATTTGGGGGTATCACACTTTTTACCTAAGCACGACTCTCTCTTCTCCTTCAAAGCTTGTACTTTCTGCTTCCCACTCCCTTGAGTTAATAAAATACCCGACAACCAAAAGCCATTGAAAAGTGGACGTAGGTCAAGCTGACCGAACCACTATAAATTGTCTGTGTCTCTCTATCTCCCATTATTAATTTTCTTGCATTTATTATTCATACTTGACAGGTGGTGTGCAAAACCATTTTGTACATCATCAATTGTAAATTCAAACACCTTGAGTTCGAATTTTGACAACTTTTTATTACTAAATCATGAGAGATTTATCTTTTATTAATATAGTAGCCTCGGCGCGAATGGTCTGTCTTTGGACCAAAAAGATGATTAGTCAAAATGTGCATAAATTGGTCCGGATAGCCCCCACTGTTGAAAAAAAAAAGAAAAAGAAAGAAAGAACGTAAAACAACCGCTCACTTTTCAAGCTGCAAATCTAAATTGAACCAAAGTTGGTAAAAAACCAACTTCAAAGTTGATTATAAGAAGGTTCCATCGTAACAACTTTCACCGTAAATGATGTAATCTCAAGTCAGTTACTGCTGGCTTATGGCTTCACTAGTACTCCTCCCATAAAAATGGCTCCTCAAGCCTGAAACCTATCTCAGCTCCAGCCAGTTGCCATGTCGAAGCATAATAACAATACCCATCATTCCGATCAGTGCTGTCCATGGAAAGATCTGGTAGGTCAAAAACTGTATCATCATCACCGGTCACCGGAAAATTCGACGATTCTTCCCTGTTCTCCATGGCCAAATTGGTTGACAAATGATAGTTGGGAAGATCGGAAAAGGTCACCGTTGCTGCCTTGGCGGCGGCGGCTTGGATGTCCTTGGCGGCGGCTGTGGCCGGCCGGGGAAGTTCATGAGCCCGTTGAGGAAAATTGAGATAAGCTGAGTGACCCTTGATGGCCAAAGCTGCTACATCATGTGCTCTAGCTGCCATTTCAGCAGTAGGGTATGTTCCGAGCCATATTCTTGATTTCTTCTTCGGTTCACGAATTTCCGACACCCATTTGCCCCAAGTACGCATTCTTACTCCCCGGTAAGTCGGGTGGTTTCCACCGTCATCGCGCCCATTCCCCCTCCGCTTGTTGGTCTCATTGCCGGAATTTTGTCCTGGAACCTTTTTGCAGCCTTTTTGGACCTTACCCTTTTTTGTTCTCTTTGTGCTTTGATCGCATAGTGTTACACTGGAGGTGGTGGAGGAGGAGGAGGAGGTGGTGGTGGTGGAGGATGAAGGGAAGTTTTCTTGACCTACACTTTCTATGATAATTTGATCCTCCATGATTAGAGGTCCAGAAAAGAATGTGAATATGGTACAGAAAAATAGTAAGGGTTGGGCCTTTTATGATTGCCCCATATATAAATGTAAAAGAAAGAGAAAAACTTTGAGGGAATTAAATCATACTAAGGATTAGTTGTAAATTTAGATAGTTTGAGTTTGAATTTGATAATTTTTTAAGATCAGATTATGAGAAATTTTTTTCGTGAATACCTTAGTTCCGACGTGAATGACCTGTTTTTAATTAGATCGGAGAGGAAATTAATCAAGGTGTGCATAAATTGACTCAAATACCTCTGATCGTTAAAAAAAAAAACGAAAGAAAGAGAAAAGGAATTATGTGACCTTATCATGAGGGGGTGTGCTACAGTTAAGATATTTTGTTACCCCATGTGGAATTTTGAATAGGACATGTTTCAAAAATCATCTTTAGGATTTTCATTTTCTTACTTTCCCTGTTGTTTTTTCATGGCAATTCACCATATAAACTGTATATTGATGACAGCCCAAATCTCATTTTGCATGTGTGTGCATCTTTTGGCCTACAACACAGAGAGAGAGAGAGAGAGAGAGAGAGAGAGAGAGAGAGATGATGCTGGCATCATTCCACTGGCAAAGGGCCCCTTGTAGGGTTACCAATGATGCTCCCCATTAGTTTTACGTAGTCCTTATGTATACAAATAAGTATGATAAGCATTATTGATGGTCAATTTTTAACCCCGTAGATATAAGAACTTCTCATGTTGGTTTTGTTATTAGGGATAAAGACAATTGTTGCAAACACATGACCACACGTTAATAGGCTGCACTTTCATGTGGCATTAAACTCAGCCATTTTTTTTTCCCCAGGAAAATTTGAAGGCCAAGTGGATCTACAAATTAGTTGGAATTAAAATACTATGAGCTATGGTACACATGGAGCACATGCCGGTAGGTCATACACCACATTTTTTGCCTTAGAAGTCAGGAACAGGTACCGAAATGGAATATTTTGATACCATATCAAAAAATTACTATGAAGTTAATTGATAGCAAAATTATAATATTAGTGAAAATTTTTTAATAATAGTGGCCAAAATTACAATATTAGTAGAAAATTTATAACTGTAGTACGCAAAATTACCACAATAGTAGTTAAAATTACAACATCAGTGAAAAATTTATAACAATAATGGGTAAAATTATAACATCAAAGGACAACTTATTACAATAATTGACAAAATTACTGGGCAAACTTTTACCACCATTTGAAGTACAAGAACTATATTCTGTTTTTTTTGTGATCGATCACAAATATTAATTGATCGATTCAGTAGTTGCACATTAAGGATAAAATTACAACATTAATAAAAAACTTACAAAAATAGTAGACAAAATTACAACAATAATAAAAAATTTACAACAATAATGAACAAAATTACCACAATAGTGACAAAAATTATAACATAAGTGAAAAATTTACAACATTAGTGAAAAATTTACAACATTAATGGATAGTGGGCAAAATTACCACAATACTAGACAAAATTACAACATTTGTGAAAATTTTACAACAATAGTAGACAAAATTACAGTATTAATGAAAAATTTACTAGAGTCATGGACAAAATTATTACAATAGTGGGCAAACTTTAACCACAATTTGAAGTACCAGAACTATATTCAGTGAGTTTGTGATCGATCATTAATATTGACTGATCGATCAAGTAGTTGCACATTAAATGTAAAATTATAGCATCAGTAAAAAATTTACTACAGTAATGTACAAAATTACAACATTAGTAAAAAATTTACAATAGTAATGGACAAAATTATCACAATAGTGATAAAAATACAATATCAATGAAAAATTTACAACAATAGTGGACAAGATTACAACATCAATGAAAAATTTACTACATTAATGAATAAAATTATTACAATAGTAGGCAAAATTTAACCAATATGCTAGTAAAACATTAACCAATTTTGGTAAAAAGACGTACTATTAATCAGAACAATCGTAATTTAACCTCAAAACTTGTAAATTTATCATAATTATTGTAAATTGACCCCTCAAAAGTGATAAATTTGTCCTTAATTGTGGTAAATTGTCCACAATTTTACTAAATCTCACTCTATTGACTTGTGATTGATCATATATAGTTGTGATCATATACATTTGTGATCGATCACAAGCTTATCGTTTTTCAAAATTTTTTGGAGATACTACTTCAACATTGCAATATATCACAGGATCTTAGGATATATTGCAAATAGTTTGAAGATAAAAAAATAATAATTTCAATATATAATGAATAATAATTTTGATATATTCTAAAAAATAATAATAAATGCGATATACTCCTAATAATAATAATTGGGATAGATCACAAAATTCACTTTCACCAAATTAATAAAAAAATCACCTTTAATTTTATTTCTAAACTTTGATTTCAAAAAATTTAACACCAAGCAGACTGCCTATTTTATTAAATAAACATTAAAATTTATGAATTTAATGACTGCCAATTTTATCAAATTAACATTGAAATTCCAAAATTTAAAATTTAATTTCATCAAAATAAACACCAAAGTAACATTCGATGAAATTAAATTTTAAATTTGATTTCTACCGTTAAGTTTCCAAATTTGAAAGAGGAAAACCACTTTTGAGGGAGACTACAGCAACTTTGCGATAGATCGCAAGCTTTTGGGATAAATCACAAACATTTTGAATAAAAATAATAATAATAATTTTGATACATTCCAAATAATGCTAGCAACACCAAGAAGCAGCACCTTTCGATTTATTTTAATTAATATTTTATTTTACTAAATTAATACCGAATAAACGTTCAATTTCACCAATTCAAAATTCACTTTCACCAAATATAATACAAAATTAACCTTTAATTTTATTTATTAAGCTTTGATTTCATAAAATTAACACCAATTTGATTACCTATTTTATTAAATAAACATTAAAATTCACTAATTTAATGTTTATTTTTATCCAATTCATCAAATTAACATTCAATTTTATCAATTTAAAATTCATATTCATCATATTAATACTAAATTCACCTTCAATATTATTTATTAAAATTCAATTTCATCCAAATAAAACCAAATTGACTGTTAATTTTATCAAATTAACATTGAAATTCTAAAATTTAAAATTTAATTTCATCTAAATAAACACCAAATTGATATTTAATTCATTCAAATACAATTAAATTTTATCAAATTAAAAATAAATTAGCCTCTAATTTAATTTATTTATAATTTCATAAATTTAACACCATACAGACAGTCAATTTTATCAAATTAACATAAAATTTTTTGAATTTAACATTCAATTTCATCCAATCCATTAAATTAACACTAAATTAACATTCAATATCATCAATTCAAAATTTAATTTCATCAAATTAATATCAAATTCATTGTAAACTTTATTTATTAAAATTCAATTTCATTAAATTAACACCAAACTGACTATTATTTTTACCATGTCAAATATCAATTTCATCAAATTAAAATCAAATTCACATTCAAATTTACTTACTAAAATTCAATTTCATCAAATTAATACCAAATTAACAGACAATTTTATCAAGTTAACAATCAATTGCATCCAATTTGATGACCAATTCATTAAATTAATACTAAATTAACATTCAATTTCATTAAATCAACACCAAATTAATTGTCAATTTTATCACATTAATATCAAAATTCATCAAATTAACAATCAATTTCATCCGATTAAGATTCAATTCATTGAATCAACATAAATTAATACTCGATTTCATCAATAAAAAAATAATTTCTTCAAATTTAAATGAAATTAATCTTCAATTTTATTTTTTAAAATTCAATTTCATAAAATTAACACCAAATTGACAGAAAATTTTATTAAATTAACAGTAACATTTATGAATTCGACATTCAATTTCTTCCAATTGAGATCCAATTCATCAAATAAACACCAAATTAATATTCAATTTCACAAAAACCAAGAATCAAATGTAAAATTAATTTTTTTTGTGATAATCTGATAAATTGAATGTTAGTTGGATGAAACTAAATGTTAATTTTATAAATTTATTGTTAATTGTATGTAATTGAATGTCAATTTGATGAATTGAGTATTAATTTGAAGAAATTTAAGGTCATTTTAAATGTATATCAGATGAATTAAATGTTAGTGGAATGCAAATTAGTAGAATTGAAGGTTAAATTATGAAATTTGATGATAATTTAATGAATTGAATATTAATTGGATTAAATTTAATGTATAATCTATGAATTAGAATTTGATGTAATTGAATGTCAAATTGATTATTTAATTGTTAATGGGATGAAATTGAACATGAATCTAATGTTAGTTTGGAGAATTGAATATTAATTGAATATAATTGGATGTTAATGTGATTTCAATTTAATGAATTTAATATTAGGTAGTTGAATTTGGATGTTAATTTTATATCAATTTTGATGAACTAAATGTTAATTGAATGTTAATTTGGTGTTGGTTTGTTGAAGTTAGTGTTTATTAGATGATTTTTAATGTTAATTTGCTGATAAATTGGGTGCTAATTTGATGATTTGAACTTTTATTGGATAAAATTGAATGTTAATTTGGTGAAATTAAATTATAAATTATTGAAATTAAATATTATTTTGACAAAATTAAAGGTCAATTTGATACTAATCCAAATCAATTGAGATAGATTACAAAAAATATAGTATTATGATCGATCGCAAAAACATAGGATCGATCACAATTTTTCTTCTTAGAACAAAAAATTGTCATGAAATACAATGGTCTATCGTTTCACTCAATAATCGATCACAATTTTTCTGGTCAACAAAAAATTCTAATACTTTTATCCATTAGTGTTTTAAACATGACCTTAATTATAGTACCAAAAAATTACTTTTAATTGGCATGAATTTTAGTCAGGAAAAAAATATAAATTCAATCGACTGATTGACCAGACTTTATATCAATCGATCACAACCCCACAGTAAATAATTTTGCTACTTCAACTATTAAATCTGCAACTATTTATTCGATCATCAATATTAGTGATCAATCACAAACCCATAAAA